ATCAGTCTTAGAAGGATCTTTTCAAATACCATGTTTACTTGGGCAAGGGAAACAAAAGAAAAAATAAATGAATGAGACTTCATCACACTACAGACCTTCTGCAAGGCAAGGGAAACCAGGAACAAAATGCAAAGATAACCCACTAACTGGGAGAAAATATTTGCAAATCATATATGTGACAAGTGGTTAGTCTCCAAAATATATAAAGAACTCAGACAACTCAACAACAAAACAACAAACAACCCAATCAAAAAATGGGCAGAGGATATGAACAGACATTTTTCTAAAGAAGATATACAGATGGCCAACAGGCACATGAAAAGATGTTCAATATCACTAATCATTAGGGAAATGCAAATCAAAACCACAATGAGATATCACCTTACACATGTTAGAATGGCTATAATTACCAAGACAAAAAACAACAAATGTTGGAGAGGATGTGGAGAAAAGGCAACCCTCATACACTGCTGATGAGAAAGCAGACTGGTGCAGCCACTATGGAAAACAGTATGGAGATTTCTCAAAACTTAAAAATAGAAATATCATACAAGCTGGCTATCCTGCTACTCGGTATTTATCCAAAGAACTTGAAATCAACAATTCAAAGAGATTTATGCACCCCTACGTTCATTGCAGCATTATGCACAATAGCCAAGACATGGAATCAACCCAAGAGCCCAAGAACTGATGAATGGATAAAGACGATGTGGTGTGTGTGTATATATATATATATATATATATATATATATAAAATACACACACACACAAAGGAATACTACTCAGCCATAAAAAAGACAAAATCCTCCCATTTGCCACAATGTGGATGGACCTTGAGGGTACTGTTAAGCAAAATAAGCCTGAGAGAGAAAGTCAAACCATATGATTTCACTCATATGTGGAAGATATACAAACACATGAACAAAGAGAACACATTAGTAGTTACCAGAGGGGAAGAGGGTTGGGGGGTGGGCACAAGGGGTAAAAGGGCACATATATACGATGACTGACAAATAATAGTGTACAACTGAAATTTCACAACTTTATAAACTATTATGACCTCAATAAAAACACAAAAACCTTAAACATAGAATTACCATCTGATCTATGATCCAGCAGCTCCACTTCTGGGTATACACCCAAAAGAGTTAAAGGCAAGGACTCAAACAGATACTTGTATGTTAATGATAACAGCAACATTATTCACGACAGCCAAAACAGAGAAACAACCAAAATGACCATAAACACGTGAATGAATAAATAAAAGGAGGTATATATATATATATATATACAATGGAGAATTATTCAGCTACAATAAAAACTAATAAAATTTTGATACATGCTACAAAAAGGATGAATCTTGAAAACATTAAGTGAAACAAGCCAGACACAAAAGGACAACTATTTTATGATTCCATTTATATGAGTTACCTAGAAGAGGCAAATTCATGGAAAGAAAGAATAAAGATTACTAGCAGCAGGGTGGTAGAAATAGATGGTGGTGGTTGCTGCACAACATTATAAATGTATTTAATGCCACTGAATGGTGCACTTAAATACTAAATTTTATGTAGTATATATTTTACCTAAATAAAAAAAAATTGCCAAAAAGAAAAATAGAGTGAACATGCTAAGTGAAACAAGCCAGACACAAAATCCTCATACCTTACAATTCCATTTATATAAAATTCTAGAAAAGGCAAAACTATGGTGACAGAAAGCAGACTGGCTGCTGGGAGTGGAAAGGTGAACTACAGAGAAACACAAGGGAAGTTTTCAGGGTGATGGAAATACCCTATATTTTGATTGTGGTGGTAGTTATAAAACTATATACATTTGTCAAACATATCAAACCACACACTTAAGTTTGATGAATTTTATTGCATGTAAATCATACTCGAATAAAACTCAAAAAGTCAAAGAGAGTGACACGAGATGGTCTAGCCCTATGTAATCATTTTAGAGAAAAAAGAAACTGAGTCCTTGAGTATCCAAGGTCACACAGCAAAACAGGACTAGAATTCAGTTCTGTACATGAAATCCAGAGCTCTTCATGGCATATAAAATAACGCTCTTGGGAGTAGAGGGTAGTAGTGGTGGATGATTACATTGGTAATTCGATACCTCCTGCTGGAATAGATTTGAAACCCTTATTCTGAGAGTTCTGAAGAACTCATGAAGTTATACTGGAAAATTGTAATCAAAACCTTTAGCAATATATGTTCACTTTCTGCCAGTAGAATGGTCACTACTTTGCAAAGCAACTATTCTATTTGTCAAAATTCCTAGGAATAAGATTTTGTATCCTTGGATCTTTCATGCAGTCTGCCCTCTGAAGTAACGTCAAAAAAAGGCTGATCACCTTTCCATAAGATTACCTCTCAAATACTTAAAAAAAGCTTTCTTTAGCATAGTTTAAAGAGTTGGGGCTTCCACAGTCTTTCCTATACTGGCCATAATATAGTCTGTAAACATTTCACATGAGTTTTGGTCTTCAAACTAGATGCAACACTACAGATTGCCTGCAAGCTTCTTAGAATTGAACTGGATCATTATACTTCCACGAAAACTGTACTTTGGATTTGGCGGGGCTGGGGGAGGCAGGTATATTACATTATTGGCTAATTCCTGATTTCCCGTCAATTAAAATTTCTAGGTCTTTGTTACATAAAGCATCACTAAGATATATCTTTGAATTTTAAACTTAAGGGCAAGACTATAGATTTGTTTCTGTGAAATAATTTTTTATTTTAGTTTCTGATTCTGAACAGATTGTTTACATATTTTGGAATCTTGACTCATCATCCAACACATTAGCTACATTTCTGAAATATTTCATGTATAAAATTCGTAAACACATCTTTTGTATGAATATTTAAATAATAGGTTAAAATACTTGAAGTGTAAGTTTAGGAGACAAAGACCACTGGCATCTCTTAACATAAATGGCTTTTCGATATAGCTAATCACCTATAAAACCACTTAAGTTTACTCCTTTTATTTCTCTACCTGGACCAGAAAGATAGCACAAGAGCACCTACCAAATAACTGGGAAAACTACACTTGCTGCACAATTTTTGTTTATTACAGAAACAAAGTTAGTAAGGACTAATACATAGTAAATTGGCTTTTAGTGAGTAAAAGTTACTTTTCCGATTGTTCACAAACCAGAAGTTCAAGGAATTTTTAATGCACCTTGAACCTCTTTTCAGACATCTAACCATTATCGCTTAATATAAGAACTGTATTTGTCCACCCCAAAGCCTTTAGTATCTCTTATATTCTAAAACCCTTTAAAGACAATAATATTTCTACGATCATTTCGCAAATTATTTTAATATCTAGGGATACACACTTTCCTTTGAAATTGGAAATTTACCCAAGGCTCTGTTACTTTCACCTATTTTGTCCATTACCGCTTTGCAGGTCTGTTTTACAGTTATTCTGTCAAAAAGTTTATTTACAGTTAAAGAGAATGTCTGCTTAGTGAGAAAAAAAATGGAAACAAAACTGAAGTAGAGAACTGCTTTCTCCGTATTATATCTTAGCCCCACAATGTAGGTCTATCTTGTCGTTGAAAAAGAGTACAAAAATTCTTTTCACTACATTTAATTTTCAAATGCTTTAGTTCATTCTGGCCATTTTTGCTTGCCTACTTAACTTTTTCTTTATAAACTCACATTCTGTATTTTTGGTACACATCTATCTAGAGGTCTCAATATTTGAAAAACTATGCAAAAACCCTAATAATTCATGATTCTAATGCATTATGACTGTAGCTTATGCTAAATGCAAATGTAATGCTCACCATTCCTTATAAGAAAATCACATTGCACTCTAACTCAGTTCAGCTTAATTCCCAACATGACTTCCCAATTCTGTTTTCTCTGTTTTTATGCTTTGATAGTATTGCTATTTCACACAAAGGCAGAACAAAATATTTGAGTTCCCATCTTTTCAGTATTCTTTTATCACTCTCCTATTCATTTTTCTTAACCATTTTCAATTACATAATTTTAGAAATTGATGCTACGGTTTTTTTGAATTGCCAATTTTTTTGCTTTTAGTTTTCTGATTTTTGTACCCAGATGATGATGTTGTTTTTTAATTTTACTGAATAAACGTTATGTCCAACTTTGAAGTCATGCTATTTACCTTCCAGACCCATAGAGTTCTAGATTTAACACAGCTTTTTATGCCCACCCTGTTGCAATCTAATGCTTACTTGAGAATAGATAACTGAAACAAGAAACAATATCTCTTCAAAGAGAAAAGGTTGGCTTTTCTTTTTATCCCTCATATTCTTAAGATCATACTAGCCTGAATTTGCCAATGGAAAATGATGTCTGAGTTGTAAAAGATACCTGAGGACAACTGTACAATCAGTAGCTGTTTGCACCCTAAGTTAGTTCACATAATTTTAAAAAGTTCATTTTTTTATTTTGACTTCTCTCCTTTTGAAAAAGTATAAGCACATACCTTAACTCATAATTTAATGCCTGGATGTAGAAAGATATGGCTCTAGTATTTCACAAGACCTAAATAGCCACATTATCAAAGCTTTAAGTGAGATAATTACATATATTTTACATGTTGGATAATATTTCATCTGCACAATCAATAAAAACTAGCTGAAATTAAGATTTAAAAATTACCCATGGCAAGATACCTATTATGAAACAGATTTCTAAAACCTACAAAGCAAGTCTGACGTACATCACTCATTTTCTATGACTTAGAACATAATTTAAGGAAAGAAAATATTACCTATTTCTAACAAAACTATGTAGACACAAAAAAAATATTAGAATGAGGAGTCTTTAGGCCACAATAAGACCTCTAAGTATTACAGAATATAAAATTGATTAAGAATTCAATTAAAGTAAAAAAACAAAATTATTTAAAACAAGAGCACAGAAGTTGTGCTTAAAAAAAAAAAAAAAAAGGTTTAAAGGGAAGGGGATGAGAAAGGTGAGAAAAAGCACTACCAGACTCCTTACCCATTGTTGTTGGTGCTGGAGCTTCCTGATGGTATTTTCAGCTTGCTCCAGCTTAGCACTGGCCTCATCACTCTGCTGTTTGATGGTGGCCAACTCCCGTTTTATGAGGTAGTTTTCCTCAGCCTCCTGGGCTCTTGTCACTTGTCCCTTAGGACATAATTTGTGTGTGTGTAAAGCAGTTTACCATAGATTCAAGAAAGACTGCCTTTGTGAGGCTTAGTTATTTACTTTGACATGTTAAAAAAAATTACTTCAGAGAAAAGAACAGCCTAAATAATTATTAGCCAGCAGTTCATTATTGCTCCAGCCAATTTTGGGAAACTGAAAAAAGTCAACTGACAATCTTAAGAACAATTCTTCTTTCACTCAATAAAAATTCAATTCATGCAGTATTACTGGGTTGTACATGCAGGACTAAGATTTCAATGAATAGTGGTTAATTTCACAGAATCCACTGATTGCCATTTTGAAATAAATACTTTAAAGTAAGGTTAGCTTTAAAACGTGCAAAAGGTGTTTATTGTAATAAACCAGAATAACACACTGTTATCAAAAATTAAGTTTATACCCATGTATATCACCCCAAAAAATTATTTCTAGGAAAATGCATGTAAAATTGCATGCATTAAAATGCGAATTTCTAGGTTTAGGACTTCCCTTAGAAGTTAGAGAAAATGCTAAAAACAAAAACAAAAACAAAACTATACCTGTATCAATCTATCTGCCAAGGAAGCACTTTCCTACAAAAGGAAAAATTCAGATAGAAACATAAGAGAAAGAAATAAAATGAGGTGATAATTAGGAATAAGAAGAAATAAAGCATACCCAAATTCCACCTACTTTTCATTGTAATTAAAAATGGACATTTAGATTTTAAAACTACTTTTTACTGAATGTGTTTTTATTCTTAAATCTTAAGAAATATATATCAAAACAAGGACAGACTGAAGAAAATCATGTGCTTCTAGAAGAGGCCAAACACAAACTCCAAGAGCTTTTTCATTATTTGGGACAAGCAAATATCTTCTTTTAAAGCATACTTATACATCTTTATTTTTAGAGTCAGCCATACTGTCAAGCCACTTGTATGAAAGGGAGAAGGAATTTGAGTAAGCGATCCACTTATAAAGGGTGACAGCAATTTGTGCAACCCCAACTTCCAAAGAAGAAAAGCAAGGAAAAAATGACGAAATACATGAGCTCAATGCAATAAACTCTAGAAATAACTAAGTAAACTTTTTGCTTTCAGAATTTAATTGATACGTAAGTATTTACAGAAATCTAAGTGCTAAAGAACACATCTAGGCCATCTAAGAGCCAGTAAAAGGTACTTCATTTTCTAGATGCAAAATCCAAACTTAATACTTTCCTACAGTACCTTTATCATTCTAAAGGTTCAATGAAATAAAAGTGCTTTCTCTGTGAAAATGTCTCACTCCAAAGATAAAACCCAGAAGATACACCCAAGAAGATGTATATTTTACTGCAAACTGAGTATTTAGTGAAAAAAAAGCATATATTTAAAACAACTTAAAAACAACTAAGCTCGATGTTTTTTGTTTTTTGGGTTTTTTTGAGGAAGATTAGCACTGAGCTAACCTCTGCCAATCCTCCTCTTTTTGCTGAGGTAGACTGGCCCTGAGCTCACATCGTGCCCATCTTCCTCTACTTTACATGTGGGACGCCTACCACAGCATGGCTTGCCAAGCGGTGCCTTGTCCGCACCCAGGATCCGAACTGGCGAACCCCAGGCTGCCGAAGCGGAAGGTGCACACTTAACTGCTGCGCCACCAGGCCGGCCCCTAAGCTCAATGTTTTTGCAGAGTCACCAAAAAGCAGAATTATCCTCAAAGCAACTCTAATAAGATAAAGGATATATAAGAAAACTATTTCTGACTTAATATAATGTACCTACAATTTGCAATAAACATTCTGTTCTTGTGCAGTGTTACTTAATTGGAAACCAGCAAAACTTTCAAACAAAAGACAAATATGCAAGCCATCCATATTTTCATTTATTTAATTCTTGAATATTGATCTATAGATTTTCAGGGAAGATTTTAAGATAGTTGGCAATATCATGAGGAGTACTTTTATACCTACTTACTCTCATCTTTGGATAAAAAAACAACAAAAACATCAAAAGAGTTTGTGAATACAGATGTTTTTCTTATAATTAACAAAAACGCTTACACTATACCCTTTATTACTCAATAAATTCTTACAGTACTAGAAACAAGACTACAGAAGACATTACATCAAAAGCACAATATGAAAAAGAACACAAATTTTCCACATTTGCCCAGTTATTTTATATGAAACAGAGAGGAAAAGGTAACAAGTGGTATGAAAATAATTCTAAGAACCAAAAGTTTAAGCACAATTCTCCTATGTTGAAAATCAATATCATGGTGAATTTTTACAAAAGAAATTAGTGAATCATTTTGACCAAACTTAAAGCAATCCTGGGCCTTAAAGGAATCACTGCCACACTTAACATGTGGCTAGAAAGTTGGGGCAACATTTGAACTCACCTTTAAAATACTATACAGAATTGATTCTCAGGTTACTTCTAAAGAAGGTACTTTTTACAGATTATACGTATAGAAAACAAATGACATCAATATGTTACTCTAACAATAACCTTAGTTAAAACTTTAACATTAAAGCTCAAGGACTAGTAGCGACCAATTTTTATTAATGACAAGTTTAGTTAAGTAGCAAGCTGGCAATCTAAGCAGTCAATATCACAACTTTGGAGACATGTGCTAGACTTCCCGAGCCTAAAATGGACCAAAAAAAATACTGTGCATTCAACAGAAGCTTGCATAAGTAGTCATTTACTTACTTTTTCTAATGTTTCAATGCGCTGTTTTAAAAGTCTATTTTCTGTGCGTAACCTCTGCAAAAAAAAAAAAAGAAAAGAAACAACACACACACAAAAAGGTTTGTTTGCAAGCATTCCTGAGAGAAATAAAGACACCTAAATCATAGTCTTTATAATGCACCAGCTTTTATAAGTAAGAAGAGTCTTAGAATGGTTATATTATCATCTGTCAAATTCTTAAAGTCTCAGAATAAGAAACATATGGCAAAGGAAATGATCACATTTATCAATCCAGCTGTGCCTGAATTTTAAATTTAAGCTACAGTACATACAGAAATAACCCCTTTCTTTTCTGTACCTATGATAATGACTCATAATCAATATTTTCTTGTCTCATCCTCATTAGAAAAGATTCTAACTCATATATCACCTATGAAGCCTATTTTCATAAACAGTATTCACATGTCTATCAAATAAACAAGAAATCTGGAAAAAAATCCATGTTCAAAGGATAAATACTGTCAGTTTAGAAGTCGAGCAGCCTCCATTTGTAATGAACTGTATACACCAAGTTGCAAAATTCCTTACATTCTGAAAATATGAAGAGTTACCTTCATCGAATGAATTGTTTATCACGAACTCTTTTAAATGTGAGAAAATTAAAAGCTCTAATTATTAGCATTTTCTCATAGTTCAAATAGTAAAACTAGACTAAAAGAAACTTCACTTAATTGTTCAATGCCTGACTGCCAAAACCCTCTCAAATTACTGCCATTAAATCAAAAACACTCTACATTAAAAAAAATCACCTCCTTTTTGCATATTCCACCAATACAATTCATATTAATCCCCTATATAAATTATCCTTTCATTTTAGAATCCCATAAATGTTATCACTTCATTACGCCATCACTCTAATTTCAAATCCACTCTTACCTTTTTGTATCAACTTGCTCCAGAGCTCAATCCAGCCTTTTTCCAACCCTACCTTCCTCTCAATTCCGGCTAAACAAGTCTTCCTCAGAAAACTTCTATTGATTCAATCTGTTATTTTGCCAGTAAAGACTAAAATATAGTTTCTATAACATATAAAACCTCAGACCAAGGAAATAGAAGACTCTCTGAATTATCGTATCTTAATAGGTAGACCTCAAATTAGAACAAAGAAATCTTAGAGTTACTACAAAGATACTTTGCAAATTAATTTCCTTGTTCTATTCAGAACATATATAAATGATTTGAAATGGGTATTATTTTAAGTGTGATCTCAGGCTACAGAATGGCTTGAGGAGGAGAAAATCTTTCTCATGTCTTGGATACTTATACTATGTGTAGCATGGTGGTCTACACAAACAAGAAATTATTAAATGCTGTTAAAGTCTGGAAAGCCAAAGAAAAAATGCAATTCTCAAAATGTTCTCAACATATTTTATCAAAAATCATATAACATTTTGTTTATCCTAAAAGACTGAGAAAGTTAAGATCAACCAGACAATCGAGTGAATAAAGTTAATGTTACATTAAAAGTAACGCTAAAATAATAAAATTTAGAACTAAAAACATTCACCTGGATTTGCTTCCCTACTCCTTTAAAGTTTCTGAAATTTTGCTATAAAATCTAAATTGATTTTTCCCCAAACATCTACCCAAATGTCTTAATGCCACTTTTTAAATAAATCATCAGTTCCTCATCTGTGTGCTATCCACTTTATCATGAATTAATAAATACAACAGACTTTAACAATTAGTAAAGACTATTTCAGGGTTACCAATTAAATTTCAACTTTGTCTTTTTTTGGACTAGTTTCACAGTATTTTGCTAATTATAGCTTTGTAATCCCTTTTAATATCTGATAGAGCTAATTTCCCTCATTACTACATTGTTTTGTTTATCCTCCCCAAACCGTAACCACTAGTATACCAAATTAGTTAAGAGACTGGGTTTTGAAGTTAGGCAGGTTTAGGTTCAAATCCTCACTATACAATGAACACCTGTAGGTGTCATTCAATGTCTTAGAATCTCCATTTCCTCATCTAGAAAATCAGACTAACAAAACCTACAATGATATTGGAAGAACTAAATGAGATAGCACAGTGCCTAATATATACCAAACAGTTAGTAATAAGCATTGCTCATAATATTTTTGAAGTTAGGCATGAATATTATTTTATTACTTTTATCTATTTTTTACAATTATTCTTTAGATTTTTTATTTCTCTGAAACATCTCAAGGAATTAAATTTGACTGGATTTGTTAATGTGGATTTTGTGAGGAAATCTCTATCTTTATGTAACATGGCATTATTTTTGTCTCTCCCTTTTATTCATTTTTTAAAAATACCTATATGCAAAGTTTTTCAGTGTTTATTTCTTACTTTCTCATTTTTCATTTAGGTTATTTCTACATATGCTTTTATTTTTATTTTAAATGGAACTTCTTTTTCTAAGATGTTGAAATGTTTATTGCTGATATATAGGAAAGTTAATGACTAAAATCTAACACTTATTTTTGAATATATTTCTTTTTAATCACATTTCCTCAACTAACTGAGAATGCTTTCTAAACTTTAAAGTGAAAACCACAAAGAGAAAGACTAATAGACATGTACACTTAAAAAAACACACAAGCAAATTTTTTGACCTACGAGATTAAGAGAGACAGCAAGAATGAAATACCTCATGTTGGCAAATTATTAGTGAAATGGAAACTCACTGCTAAGAAGAATATAGTCCAGAAATAGTCTTTAGGAAATTTACTTAGTATATATCAAAAGTCTTAAAAATACTAATACTCTATAATTCAATAATTCTACTTTTTACAACTGGCTATGGAAAAACGAGATGCCAAAAACCTTTACATACAAAGATCCTAACTATAAGCATATTTTTAATAATGAAAAATAAAAACAACCTAAATATCCCACAATAGAGGAATTTCAGTTCCAAACAACTGACTCTTCAATCATCATCTCCTATTCTTTCCAGCTTATTTACTTTATGATATAACCCAAGCTCAATAATCCTCCTTCTCACAGGGCCAATCCAGTGATCCTCTCAATTTTTCACTGTCTTTCACTCCCTGATGTCCTCTCTTCCCTCTTTACAAAGTTTAATTTCCAATCATATATTTTGCCTTGCTTTTACCGCCCCCCCTTCCCCACCCCTCCCTCAGTAGTTAGTATACTTGCCTGGTGAAACCACTACTCTGGGTCAACATATTGATGACTCTGTGTCTGCACTTAGACTGGTAAACGTAACCAAAGAAAAATAAAACCATGATGTTTATTTAAATTAACAATCACTAAATTCAGCTGGACTCTTAAACATCCTAGCAATAATAATATATTTCCTTGGTCCATTCCTTCTCCCACTCTCTTAGGTCACTATTTCATACTTACTCTTCTTTCTTCAAACCAGCAACCCTCTACTCCACTGTCAGAAGACAATCTTGCTTATGATTTCACTGAAAAAATTGAAGCAGTCAGGATACAACTTCACAAGCTCCCACAACCAGTCTACATCTTACCTCTACTTTTGCTCTTACATTTTAGTTTCTCTCCTGTTACTGTGGATTAACTATCCATGCAAGGAGACCAAGTTAAGTCTCCTACCTATGCACTAAATCCCATATCCTTCTGACTCCAGCAATTATCCCCTGTCATTCATATATCATCAATTTTCCCTATTTAATTATCACCATAAAAACATGTGCTTATTTCTCCCATCTTAAAAAAAGGAAAGAAAAACAAACTCAACATCAGTACCCTCTCTAGCTACTGTCTTTTATTTCTCTCTTCTTTATAGCAAACTCCCTGAAAGATATCTACACCTCCATCTCCAATTTTCTCTAGTTCCATTTTGAGTCAAGTTTTAGCTCCTACCACTTGTTGGCTCTTTTCCAGTTTATCTCCACGCTGATAAACCCAATGATTATTTCTCCATCCTCATCTCAGAAGAACTTTCTCCAGAACTTGACACAGTAAATCCTTCTCTCTTTCTGAAACACTCTTTTCTCTTGGCTTCTGGGACATGGTATTTCCCTGGTGTACTCCTGCTTTGCTCCTTTGTCCTCGTCTTCCTAACTTTTACACGTCAGCTTAATCTCAGGCTCAATTCTTGAACTCTCTTTATTTTATTTACACTCATTCCTCAGGTAATCTCATCTACTCTCGTGGCTTTTCATCGTCAGTGTCAATAACTGCCAAATTTATATTTTGAGTCTGTCCTCTCTTAACTCCAACACCAAATACTGAAGGGGCTACTTGAACATCTCTGAGACATCTCATACTCAAAATATGCAAAATTGGGGTCCTGATATTCCTCCCCAAACCAGATCCTCCTATAGTCTTCCCCATCTCAGGTAATGGGAACACCATCTTTCTAATTGCTCAGGCCAAAATGCTTGATTCTTATCCCTCTCACATCTCCACATTCAATCTGTCAGCTTTACCTTTAAAATCAGAATCTAGTCATTTCTTACCACCTCAGTCCTAGCCACCACCATCTCTTGCCTGCATTACTTCATCAGCCTCCCTGCATCTGTTCTTGCCCCCTGCAATCTACTCTCAACACAAGAGCCAGAAGGATCCACTGAAAACTTAAGTCAGATCTTGTCCTCCTCTACAGAAATCTCCAACTGCTTACCAGAGTAAAAACCAAAGTCTTCACATGGTCAGTAACACCCTACATTATCCACAATGTGCAGCATCTTACCTCCTGTCACTTTCCTCATCATTCATGTTTTCCCATCCACAATGGCATCCTTACTATTCTTTACCAGGCACACTCCTGACCAGATTCTACTCTCCTTCCAGATACCTATATATCTAGCTCCCCATCTTTCTTCAGTCTTGATTCAAAAGTTATGTGGTCAACTTCCCTAAATTTTCAGTCCAAACACTACCATTTCCTTTTCCCTCCCCTAAGGTATTTTGTTTCTCCTGTTTAACCCTTATCACCATCTGAAATACCGTACGTTTTATTTTTCTGTTGTCTGACTTCCATACTAGAATGTCAGCTCCATGAGGGCAGGAATTGGTTCATTTCATAAACATATCTCAAGTGCCTAGAACACTGCTGGGGCATGTAGCAGGCACTATAAATATCTGTTAAATGAATGACACTGAATAAAATACGCTATTGTACCCCCATTGGATGTTATTATGCAGCCATTCAGTTTTTAATGAAAAGTTTTTAATATCACAGTAAGATGGGCATCCAAATCCTTCTTACATCACCAATACGTTAAATTCTCTCTTGGAAAGCAACACAGCGTATACAGTGAAGAACGCCTTAGAATAACACAAATCAGCATTCAAATCCTTGATTTCACTTTTCTAGCAATGTGCCCACTAGCATATTACTTGAGTTCTCTGAAGCTTAGTTTCTATTTCTTCTTGGAAAAAGAAATATAAGAACTCTTTCATAATGTTATTGTAAGAATAAAAGGAGATGATGCATGTAGATGACCCTTCATATATTAAGTGTTGAATGAATGTGAGGTCAATATTAATACCTCAAATTGACTGCTAAATATAATTACTGGATGATTTAGATAGAATTTGTCATGATTTTTTTTTATGCCAGGCAGTGGATACACAAGTGTTTTGATACTATTCTCTGTTTTTCAGCATATCTGGAATATTTCATAATTTCTGAAATAAGAAAAAAATATTTAATTTCTGACTAAAAATCAGTGAATTTCTAACACTTCCCATTTGCAGTTTTAGGTCTCTATGCCCCAAAGCACAAATTTAAATATGAATATTAGACTGTCAGTTCATATGTTTGTCTTAAATGGAGCAGAGGATAAAGGTTTTTCTTTTTTAAAGATTTGCGGGCTACCCTAATATAAGCTAGAATTTTAATATTTCTTACCTCCTCCCCCTCAGGTGGAACACATTAATAGACTGGAAGAAGATATTGATAAAGATGTTTCTACTAACAAAAATTTCACACAGTAAAATACAAGATTCTCTGTATGAAAGCATTATTATCAAAATCTTCCTATAACATTTTCAGAGTAGGCGTAGAAAATATTTAAAAGTTGCATCGGGATCACGGAACCCACTGACAGATATAATTCTTAGAATAAAAGGTCACCAAGCCAAAGGTCTTAGAATTTTGATTAAGGTAAAAACAATGGAAACCTTAAACACACTGCACAACATCAAAGGCTGATCTTTTACTTCCATATTACAACATCAAATAATTTGATGATCATACTATTTGTTTGTGTAAAGAATAGTACAAGACTATCCCCCTGAAGGCTTCTGAGGAGGACAAAGGCAAGAAAGTACTAGTTTAACAGAACTCATTCCCCTGTAAAAGGGACCTCAGTGGGAAGGGAAGAGAGTGTGAGTGAGGAAGTGGCATTTCTCATTTTAGAGAAAGGCTGAAACAATACATGGCTAATTTATTGTAAATAAGGTGGTCATCTGATCATGACTGAGACGAGTTGCCAGTTCCAAGTCAAAAATCAGACATACACACCCAAATATAAAGCAAAAAAAAAAAGTGCAGTCACACAAAAATTGTTTTGGCTTTGTCTTTGGGGGTGGCAGGAGTGAAGAAAGAGAAGAAAATGGTACAAGAGTAAGAAAAGAACTACATGGAAACATGATTTCACAAAAAGAACAGACTACCTTTGAGATCAGTATACTTTATTTATCTGATATATTCCACTAACTTTTTAAACTTTTTCTTTCCAGATTCTTCTCTATAAACAACTTTATGCCACCTGGTATGCAAAAGTATTTTCTGAGGTATATAAACTATAACTCCCCCCCCCCCCAAAATTTTTTTTGAAAAATAACTGCAAGTATAGGATAAAGTTTGCAAAAGATCTTTCTGAAAAGGTCTTTTTGTATTCCTACATTCATGTGACAATTTTAGAAGAAACTTCTCCAAGAGCAAGGATTGTTCACAGAACTGTGATTTTTTTTTTCAATAACATAGCATGGTGAAATGACCAGGATGGCTTCCCCATCCTCAGATTCTTGATTTCCAGTTCCGAATATTCCTGGTATGCGATAACCCATACTCTCTCCCCACTCATCAGGATGACGTACTTTTTACTTTCAGTAGGTTGAAGTGGAGGGTATGATTTTATATTACGCTTACTCATGGTACCTAAAAGAAAAGCAAATGGTAGAGGAGCGGTTGGGTGACAGAATAAAAAAAAGGAGGGAAAAACATCCACAGGGATCTTTTCTTTCTCTCTCTCTCTCTGAAAAATGTAGAAGTATTTTTCCAATTGATAGGAAACAGGTGACAGAAATGGAAATAAACATCTAGAAAAGGGAAACAAAGTTGATGACAGAGAGGTGACAGAAAAATAGGAGAGAGTGTCTCCTAGGAGGCTTCTGAGGCAGACCATGGCAAGAAAGAGTCCTAGGTTAACAGAACTCTTTCTCTTGTAAAAAGGACCTGTGGGGTGTAAGTAACATAGTGGTATTTTATAGCATGGCTGAATCAACACATGGCTGATTAATTGTAAATAAGGTGGTCATTTAACATCTTGCCAGGTTTAAGTCAAAAATCAGACACACCCAAACGTAGTTTAAAAAAAAAAATGGAGTCACTCAATAAAAATTGTTTTATTTTTGTTTCCTTTTCGGGGAAAGAGAAGAGGAATAAAGAGATAAGAAATGGCATCAGCAAGCCACTGAGATGCTTCACTAAATCACGGTCCTACTCATCATCCCCTCCTGAAATATCAGCATAAAAGCCAGTACAACTTTCCCTAATTCTCAGCTCGAATAACACCAAAGATCCTCAACTTAAGAATTTCTGGCCTTACAGGGGGTACAAATAAGGATTTTAAGGTACACACAGGAATTTCTATGTCCTTCAAATTGGAAATCTACCTATTTCTCTGGAGAGTAATTCAACAGTATAACCTTTGTTTAGTGATGAGAATGTTGAATTAGTGGAAGCTTCTTGCAGCTCTAAGGCAGCCATTATTAGTTCGAGTGCAATGATTTGCTATTTGGTCTACCTTAAACTATACTGCTATTAGTCTCAGTATGGTATATATTAATTTCTCTGTAACTTTAAAAAATATGCTTAAATGGAATGATAATTATCTTCCCCAGAGAAGTTTTTTCTCCTCATGACCCACCAACAAATCTAGAAAAAGGGAAGAGCTGCTCTCTTTCAGACTAGAATGAAAACGACTTCAGTCACATTATCCCAGTTTTTGAAATGTCTGTTTTTAACTACAGTCTAGTGGGATGGTAAATAAATTTATCAATCAATACAGACAAACATCATTGCCAAATTTACTACATATAGGTAACAAATATACCAATGTAACCTAACATCTATTGCCAAATAAGTGACTCCAATCAATTTATGTTCACCAGTTCTAAAAGTCCTCAGATGCTTACTTTAATTTCAACTTGCTCTTCCATTTCTTTAGTTTTTATTGTAGTGTATTCCTTTTCAAGCCTACAAAGAAAAAAGGAAAGTTAAAGGGATGTTTTCATTTCAAAGTAGCTATTAAATTATAAAATTTACAGCTATATATTAACACAAAACATAATTTTGCTAAGTTCTCCCAACAAATAACTTGAGATACTTGATATGAGAAAACTCATCTAAAAAGGTACATGGATTCTTACTAAAAAATTTACTTCACAGATAACAAAAATAAGAACCATACAAAAGCAAACTTTAGAAAGTGAAATATATAAGGCACCAGAGGACAGATTCTATTCAGCCCTAAATATACAAAAGAACTATCCATCCTTCCCCCTCAAATTAAAATACATCTATAAAGTCCAAATGGATCCTAACCAAAAAAAAACTTGTACTAAAACTAAGAAATTTATAATGGGGAAAAAGGGACAACTATTCCTAACAAAAGAATTCCAATTAACAAACGTAGAAGGAATGAGGTGAATATAAAAATCACCATTAGAACTCCACAACAATAACTGCCACAGGCAAGAAAAATCAATGGATGCTAAAATTAGTGGGTAAACGTTTAAGCATAGTCTCAAAGTATCTTTCCCCAAATATTTAGTAATTACAAAGGGAAAGATAGTAAATTTATAGTACAAATCCTAGCAGACAGTGTCTGAGTCAAAAGATCAAGGTTAACATCACCGCTAACACACACTGACATAATGCACCCCATTAAGATGTTCTGAGAAGGGCACCTCACCTCTGTGGAATCCTTTCCAGTAATGCATATCCTCAATCTAATCAAGAGAAATCATCGAACTTCTATAAAACAATTGACTAGCTAGCTTCAAAAGTGTCAAGGTTATGAAAGACAAGAAAGACTAAAGAACTGTCATCGATGGTACAGGAGTAAGAAATGACAAATAAATGCAATGTACTATTTTTGCAATTCTACTATAAGCATAAAATTATCTTAAAATTTATAGGCTATAAAAAATTAGTCCCAACAAGTCATTTCTTTTTAAAGATTTTATTTTTTTCCTTTTTCTCCCCAAAGCGCCCCGTTGCATAGCTGTACATTCTTCGTTGTGGGTCCACCCAGCTGTGGCATGTGGGACGCTGCCCCAGCGTGGCCGACGAGCAGCGGCCATGTCTGCGCCCAGGATTCGAACCAATGAAACACTGGGCCACCGGCAGCGGAGCGCGCAAACCCAACCACTGGGCCACGGGGCCAGCCCCCAACAAGTCATTTTTATATCTTGCTCTCAGCCAAAAAAGTTAATACATGTTTAACTACTCCAAATATTAACAAAATCAGGCTCCAAATAACCTACAGCTTCTTTAAAAAATCAAATTCTCCCTCAAAGGACAAAAACCTATTATTTACTATATACAACCTCATTAGCACACAGTAAATTTTTTTAATTGGCGTAAAATACAAGTAAGATAAAATTTACCATCTACTTTTAAATGTAGTTTTAGTAGCATTAAATACATTTATAATGTTGTGCAGCCATCACTGCCATCATTTGCATAGCTCTTCTCATCTTATAAAACTGAAACTCCACCCATGAAACAATAAGAGATGATTCCCCTCTCTCCCAGGCCCTGGCAGCAACCATTTTAATGTTCTGTCTTTATGATTTTGACAACACTAAGTATCTCACATAAGTGGAATCATACAGTATTTGTCCTATTGTGACTGGCTTACTACACTTAGAATAATGTCCCCAAGGTTCATCCATATCATACCACACGTCAGAATTTCCTTCCTTTTTAAGGTTGAACTGTATTGTAGTCATTACAAAGACAATGAATTTCATTATACTTCTGCATCACATTTTGCTTGTCCATTCGACCATCAAGGGACACTTCAGTTGCTTCTATGCTTTAGCTAATGTTAGTAACGCTGCTATGAACATCAGTGTACAAATACCTTTTCAGGACCTTATTTCATTTGGGAGGGTATATACCAAGAAGTGGAACTGCTGGATCATATGGTAACTATATTTTTTATTTTTTGAGGAATCACAATATTGTTTTCCAAGCAGCCTTAGCATTTTACATTCCCACCAACAGTGTACAAGGGTTCCTATTTCCAACACCTGTTTTAGTCTGTTTTTATGATAGGAGCTATCCTAATGGCTGTAGGGGTGGTATCTCATTGTAGTTTTGAGTTGCATTTCCATAATGATCAGTGATGTTGAGCATCTTTTTATGTGCTTATTGGCCATCTGTATATCTTTTTTGGAGAAACGTCTATTTAAGTCCTTTGCCCCTTTTTGAATCAAGTTGTTTATTTCTTTGTTGTTAAGCTTTAGGAGTTCTCTATATATTCTGGATATTAATCCTTTATCAGATATACGATCTGCAAATATTTTCTCCTATTCTGTGGTTTGCCTTTTTACTCTGTTTTGAGAGTGTCTTAGGATACGTGAAATTTAAAATTTTTCATGAAGTCCAATTTGCCTATTTTTTCTTTTGTTGCCTGTGCCTTTGGTGTCATATTCAGAAACCACTGCCAAATCCAATGTCATGAAGCTCATGCCTTACGTTTTCATCCAAGTTTTACAGTTTTAGTTCTTACATGTAGATCTTTGATCCATTTTGACTTAATTTTGCATAAGGTGTTAAGTAAGCATCTAACTTCATTCTTTTGTGTGTGGATGCCCAGTTTTCCGTAAACCATCTGTGAAAAGACAGTCCTTCCCCATTGAATGTTCTTAGCTTATCTAAAATCATCTGACCATATATGTGAGGGCTTATTTCTGGACTCTCTATTCTATCCCATTGGTCTATACGTCTGTCTTTATTTCAGTACCACAATGTTTTGATTACTGATGCTTCATAGTAAGTCTTCAAATCAGGAAGTACGAGTACTCTAGCTTTGTTGTTCTTTTATAAGATTGTTTTGCCTATTTGGGATCCTTTGGGATTCTATATGATTTTTAGGATGACGTTTTCTATTTCTGCCAAAAATGTCATCAGGATTTTGATCGGGATTGCACTGAATCTGTAGATCACTTTGAGTAGTGACATCTTAACATTAAGTGTTCCAATCAATGAACAGAGGATATATTTCTACTTATTTGTGTCTCCTTAATTTCGTTCAAGAATGTTTTGTAGTTTTCATTGTTACAAGTATTTCAACTCCTTGGTTAATTGCTAAGTGTTTATTCTACTTGTACTGTAAATGGAATATCCTTCTTGGATTGTTCATTGTTAGTGTATAAAAATGCAAGTCATTTACATGTGTTGACTTTGTATCCTGCTACTTTGCTGAATTCATTTATAGGCTCTAATAGGTTTTTTAGGTAGAATCTTTAGGTTTTTCTACATATAAGATCATGTGGTCTGCCAACATAGATAATTTTACTTTTTCCTTTCCAGTGTGGATGCCTTTTATTTCTTTTCTTTGCCTAACTGGTCTGGCTAGAACTTCTAGTACTATGTTTAATAGAAGTGGCAAAAGTGGGCATCCTTGCCTTGTTCCTGATCTTAGAGAAAAAGTTTTCAGTCTTTCACCACTGAGTCTAATGTGAGCTGTGGGTTTTTCACACACGGGTTTTACTATGTTGAGGTAGTTTCCTTCTATTCCTAGTTTATTGAGTGTTTACCATGAAAGAATGTTGCATTTTGTCAAATGCTTTTTATGCTTCAATTGAGATGATCACGCGGATTTCTTCACCTTCATTCAGTTAATGTAGTGTATTGCATTGATCGGCTGATTTTCATATGTTGAACTACCCTTGCATTGCGGGAATAAATCCCATTTGGTCCTGGTATGTAATCCTTTTAATATGCTGCTAAATTTGGTTTGGTAGTATTCTGTTGGGGATTTTTGTATCAATATTTATAAGGTATATTGATCTTTAGTTTTCTTTTCTTGTAGTGTCTTCATCTGGCTTTGGTATTAGTGTAATGCTGGCCTCATAGAACAAGTCAGGAAGTATTCCCTCCTCTTCCACTTTTTGGGAAAGTTTGAGAAGAACTGGTACTAGTTCTTTAAATTTTTAGTTTGGTAGAATTCACCAGTGAAGCCAGTAGGTCTGGGATGTTTCTTGTTGGGAGATCTCTGATTACTGATTCAACATCCTTACTAGTTACAAGTTTATTCAGATTCTCTACTTCAAGATTTAGTTTTGAAAGTTTTTGTTTTTCTAGGAATTTGCCCATTCCAACTAGGTTATCCAATTTGTTGGTGTACAATTATTTACAGTATTATCTTATGCTCCTTTTTATTTGTATAAAATTGGTAGTAATGTCTTTGTTTTTATTTCCGATTTTATTGAGTCTTTTTTTCTTAGTCCATCCAGCTAAAGGTTGGTCAATTTTGTTGATCCTTTCAAAGAATCAACTTTTAGTTTCATTAATTTTCTCTATTGTTTTCTATTCCCTTTTTCATTTATCTCTGCTCTAATCTTTATTTCCTTCCTTCTGCGAGCTCTAGGTTTAGTTTGTTCTCCTTTTCCTAGTTCCTTAAGTTGTAAATTAGGTTGCTGATTTGAGATCTTTCCTGTTTTTAATGTAAGCATTTATAGCTATAAATTTCTCCCTTAGCACTGCTTTCACTGTGTTGCATAAGTTTTGGTAGGTTGTGTTTTTGTTTTCATTCGTCCCTAAGTATTTTCTAATTTCCCTTGTGATTTCTTCTTTGATCCATTGGTTATTTAAGAGTGTGTTAATTTCCAAACAATTGTGAAGTTTCCAGTTTTACTTCTGCTAGTTTCTAAGTTCATCTTCTTATAGTTGGAGGAGATACTCTGAATTATATCTATCTTTTTAAATCAATTGAAACTTAATTTGTGACCTAATATATAGTCTCCTGAAAATGTCCCAAGTGCACTTGAGAAGAATGTGTGTGCTGTTGCTATTGGGTAGAGTGTTCTGTATGTGTCTATCACACATAGTTGGCCTATCGTGATGTTTAAGTCCTCTGCTTCCTTACTTATATTGTCTGGTTGTTCTATCCATTATCGAGAGAGAGGGATACTGAAATCTCCAGCTACTGTTGTGGAACTATTTCTACCTTCAATTCTGTC